ATAGGCCAGCTTTTAGACCTGCCGAAGAGGTCCGTTGCACTCGCCTAGTAGAGTTCTCTGCCTGGGATTGGCTAAAGGACGGTAGGACGGGAGGCGGAGGGCGGGAGAGGCCGAGGAGGGAGAGGGAGAGTGGAAGGAGAGAGGGAGGGAGGGGCGAGGAGGAAGGGAGGAGTGGTATAGGGAGCAGGGAGGCGAGAGAGGGATGGAGTGGAAGGAAGGAGGGAGGGCGAGGGAGCGGAAGGGGAGAGTGCTCGAAGAGCAGCCAGGGAGGGCTGAGGGGAGGGAGGGAGGGAGTGGAAGCAGGGGGGAGAGAGGGGCGGAGGGAGGGAGGAAGAGTGGAGCGAGGAGAGGGAGGGAGGGAGAGAGAACGAGGGAGGGAAAATGGGAAGAGGAGAGAGGAGAGAGAGAGAGAGAGAGAAGAGAGAGAGAGAGAGAGAGAGAGAGAGAGAGAGAGAGAGAGAGAGAGAGAGAGGAGAGAGAGAGGAGAGAGAGAGAGAGAGTTAGATAGATAGAGATAAAAGATAGATAGATAGAGATAATAGATAGATAGATAGATAGAGAGAGAGAGAGAGAGAGAGAGAGAGAGAGAGAGAGAGAGAGAGAGAGAGAGAGAAGAGAGAGAGGAGAGAGAGAGAGAGAGAGAGACAGACAGAGACAGAGAGAAAAAAAAAACGACAAAGTACCTGGCTAACGGGTACGCTACAAAATCTCCCCAGTCGATAACCTTCCTTTTACCAGCCCACCCATGGCAGAAAAAGCAGCATCGGTCACTTGTCTTGCGTTCGTTCTGACCTTCGTCATAGCGGCATTTGTTTTCTTCCGGGTCTAAATCTGCGAGCATGAAAGAGCGTAGATGCTATTTAACTTGGATACCTTTATTTTCGGCCAAAAAAGTTGATCTATCTTTGTCTGTATGCCTCTCTCTCTCTCTCTCTCTCTCTCTCTCTCTCTCTCTCTCTCTCTCTCTCTCTCTCTCTCTCTCTCTCTCTCTCTCTCTCTCTCTCTCTCTCTCTCTCTCTCTTCTCTCCCACCCTCTCTCTCTCTCTCTCTCTCTCTCTCACCCTCTCTCCTCTCTCTCTCCCCACCCTCTCTCTCTCTCTCTCCCACCTCCTCTCTCTCTCTCTCTTCCCACCCTCTCTCTCTCTCTTCTCCCACCCTCTCTTCTCCTCTCTCTCCCACCCTCTCTCTCTCTCCCACTCTCTTCTCTCTCTCCCCACACCTCTCTCTCTCTCTCTCCCCACCCTCTCCTCTCTCTCTCTCCCACCCCTCTCTCTCTCTCTCCCCACCCTCTCTCTCCCTCCATCCCTCTCTCTCCTCCCTCCTCCCTCCATCCCTCTCTCCTCCATATCCCCCTCCTCCCTCCATCCCTCTCTCCCTCCCTCCTCTCTCCCTCCCTTCTCCCATTTCTCTCCTCTGTCTGTCTTTCTGTCCTCCCCACTCCCCCATTCCTCAATTACGGACAAAAAAATCTATCTACTTATCCAATATCCAGAACACAACCGCCCTTCTTCTAAAGCTGCCACGACCCCTTCCTCCCCTTCCTAATTCCCTAATCGAAAAAGGAAGATAACTCCGTCGCTCTTATCTCCTTATCGCGGAAGGTGAGAACGGAGCGAAAACACCAAGTTCTGAGAGGCGAGAGGAAGGACCTCCACTGTACAAGAGAAGGGGGAGGAGGAGGAGGAGGAGGAGGAGGAGGAGAGGAGGAGGAGGAGGAGGCGAGGAGGAGGAGGAAGAAAGAAGAAGAAGAAAGAAGAAGAAGAAGAAGAAGAAGAAGAGAGAAGAAGATGAGAGAAGAAGAAGAAGAAGAAGAGAAGAAGAGAAGAAGAAGAAGAAGAAGAAGAAGAAGGAGGAGAGGAGGAGGAGGACGGGGACGAGGAGGATGTGGAAGAAAAATCTCAAAAAGAGGAGGAAGAGGAAATAGAGGAAGAGAAGGTTGAAAAGGAGGAGGTGGAGAAAGATGAACAGAGAGAGAAGGAAGAGGAGGATGACACAGGAAAGAAGGAGAATTTAAAGGAAGAGGAGGAGAAGGAGGACGACGTGGAAGAAAAGGAAAACTAAAAGGAGGGAATGGTGGAGTGAAGAGGAAGAAGAAAAGAAGAAAGAGGAAGAAAAGGAACAGGAAGAAGAGTATGAGAGAAAAAAAGAGAAGCCGGAGGAAGAAGAGGAAGAGAAGGAGAAGAAAAATGAATAGGAGAAGGAGTACGAGGAATGGCGAAGTAGGAAAATAAAATCTTACTTTCAAAACGTCCTAGACTAACTTACCGGCCATTCAACATTTCCTTTACTTATCGCGTTGCCCCTGTTTCACGAGATACAACACCGTCAAAAAATCACAAGCAAACTTTTTTTTTTTTTGACCGTCAGAGCCAGCAGCAAGGCGGCATCCCGAGAGATCTTTCCGTGCTACGACAACCCGCAAGAACCACTTTGT